CTCAGATATCAACACTTCTTGTTAGGTTACCAAGTTGATTAGCTATAACTGGAGGTAAGAAAAAGAAGTCTAAAAGAAAGATAAAAATTTTAAAAGATAATAGGAACTATAGAGGAATCTGAAAAGAGAAAGAGATTTAAAAAGAAACGGAGGGAAGAGGAGCTATGTCAATTTAAAAGCAGCTATAGTGTAGTAAATTAGTATTTTGGGTAAAGTTATTCAGTAATAGTAACAGTACACAGAATGTGAAACATGAGTAGGACCGAAAAATAGCTTTTACTTTAAAAAATAGTAAAAGTGGGTTAAAAAAAAATGAAGTTTGCAGGAAAAAAGGCCATAAGCATATGAAAAGATACTCACTTTCACTTATAATTTAAGAAATACAAATCAAAACTCTGAGCTACACATCAGATTGGCAAAAATGGAGGTGTATGACAATGCCCAGTGTTAGTGCGGGGGCGGGGAAATAGGCGCTCTCATCCACAGTGATGGGAATGTACACCGGTACGGCCTTTCTGGACGACAGTTGTCAAAATCAAAAATGAAAATGCACATACACTCTTAACAGTTCTGCTTTCACGAAGTTATCTTAAAGCAGTATCCCCACAGGGGTGCAAAAATGTGTACACACAAACAAAAAAAAAATCGTTAAAGCACTATTTGTAGTAGCAAAAAAAACTGGAAACAACTGACTTGTCCAAGAATAGAGAGTTGGTTAAATAAATTATGAAAAGGTCTCTATACGTAGCTACAGAGAGATTCTAAGATGTATTATTGTGTGAAAAAAATGCAAGGTGCTAAGCAATGTGTTTAATTTGATCCCTTTTATGTACATATTTAAAGAATATGGATCTATGTATGTACTGGTATACTGATAGAAAACTTTTCTGGAAAGATACTCAAAAAAATATTAACAATGGTTACCCCAAGGACAAGAACTTGAGGAGTAGGGAGACAGTTTTCATTTTACACTTTACTATTTGAATTTTTCTGACAGTGTTCATCCATTAATTTTTAACTTCAAATGTGGTTATCTGAGAGTAGGATTATGAGCCATTTTAATTTTATTCCTTCTACTTTTTCTATATTAAAATATATGAATATATACATTTAAATAGTATAAAAAAAAGCAAAAATCTTTCAAACAACATATTCGCTTTATTCATGACTTCTAAGAGTTATTGGAATATATTAAAAGTCTTTAAGTTGATGCTTAAAAGGAATTCCTATTTTCACAAAGTCAGTTCTGCTCTGGAATGTGTTTTCTTCTTGCAGACCTTTTATGTATCCATAGTTGATTTATGTGAAAATGGCGGGAAACGTCCTATCGCAAATAGCAGTGCTAGTTTCACCAAAGAACAAGCAGACACCATTCGCAGAATTCGAAATAGTAAAGATAGTTGGGACATGCTGGGTGTCAAACCTGGGGCCTCAAGGTAAGCAATGCTCTAGGATACTTAGTGCTGAGTTATACCATATAGAAGGACTCGGTCACCCAAATTGGAGGTGCAATATATCTTCTTCTAATTGGCTGGAAATATGAAGATGTGTGGAAATATATTCGATTACTTAATGACTCTGCTTCATTGAATTAACTGAATATCAAAGAAACAAAAGAGAGCACACAGTTGCCTGGTGAGGGAATTATGTCGTGTATATGCATAAACACTTCATGAAATGGTATGCTCTGCTTTTGTCTGTGTTGAGCAAGAGCTTTCAAGCTAATATTCAAGCTTTCAAGCCTTAAAAATACCTAACAAAAGAATTCATAAATCATAGAATTTTAGAGGAGGAAAGAGTGATAGCAATCAACTTGCCCAAACATTTCATTTCATAGGTGGGAAAACTGGGACTCAGTGAGATTAAACACGTCCAAGAACCCCAGGAGTGAGTGGTAGAATTGGTTCTTGACCCTGGAACAGTGTGTCAATCTGTCTCTGTCTCCATCTTTCTCAAAACTCTGCTAGTTCCTCATCTGTGTGTATATTTACATTAATTACTTTAGTCAAAAGAATTATTCAGGAAAAAAAATACAATCACTATTCTTTGTTGCATGTGCAAAAATAAATTATTCAGTGTGGTTATATAATCTTTAACGGTGTAATACTGCCGTTACTACACATACTATAACCTGAAAGGGTCTTACTTTGCACGCTAGCTCCCCTCCCTCTGCTTCTTTCTTCCTGCTTTTTCACCTTGATTCTCACAAAAGAAAAAAGTATGTCTTGAAGTCTCCTTGTCAACACCTAAAGCTTTAAGTATCTCTTCTCTACTTTGATCTCATAGCAGAAGGAAAGAGGCATTATTGCCAGGCATTATTGAAGGTGCTTTAAACCACAGGATGGAATTCAGAGGACCTCATGTGTAGAGCACACAGTTTATTGGAATCATTTAAATGTGTTTTTAGACCTCCGTAGTCTAATTCTATAATAAATTCTTCTATGCCCATCTCCAAGGGATATTGGCTCTAAACTTAAGAAACTATTACTTTACCTACTTATTAATGTACTTAGAACCATATTCATTGAGGAAAAAGAAACTTTTGGTTCCTTATTTAATCACTTTGGTTAATTGGAATTTATCAGAGCTTATAGGCCCTGCCTAATTTCCACATCCTTAACTAATATGGACATGTACATACTTCTCTTCCCTTTGTTCCTCTGGGTCTATCAAGCTAATTTCATATGGCATTGAGCACATTTGGGGAAAACCTTACAGCATTTTTTTCTTAAGTTACAGAGTTTTGATATTTCTTTATGCTATGTTTACTGGTTCTTGAACTTGAAGAAAATCTTCATCTTTAACGGAATTAATATATTTCTTACACACAAAGACTGAATCAATCTTGTTTCTCCAAAAATTTTCCTTGAGAGTCTCTCCTGCTAGATATCTTGAAAGGTACTCTTAGCACAGAGGAGCAGGCATAACCACCAAGCCCATGTGGATGTGCTTCCTCAGGAAGCAGAGTCGCTGGAGGAACCCTGCCCAGGACTCTGTTGTGGGGAAGAGAGAGGGTGCTATACCCACTTCAACAAGAGAGGGTCTTTGGGAGAAATAAGAATTCTGGCAATTCGAATTTCTTCAGAGAGGGAGAATGTCATTCTTGTTATCTAATGTCAAAATTATATATGTAGAAAAACTACACTCAAGGTTAAAACAAAAAAATTTAGAAGGACTCCTCTAAAAGCAAAAAGCAGAAAAGGCCCTAGAATGTATGCCTAATACATGGAGAACTTTTAACATGACCCTATGACCTCACTGTCTTCAAGCTGATACATAAAAGTTTCCATCACATCCAAGACCAAAAGACTGTCTCCCTAATTTGGAGAGCCAAATTAGAAATCCTTCTGATAAAAAATAAAAGAGAAAGGCTAAGGCATTTGGCAAAGCACCATTTCTGTGCTTGTAGGAGAACTGGAACCCTGAATTACAAAAGGAAAATGGGACATAAAACCATCTGGTAGAGACTGAGGTCAATCTGACCAGGGGAGTGACTGAATACTTAGAGTCCTCTAGGAGACCCAACACCTGTGGATGACCAGTGGGGGACAGGGATGGTGCGTCTCCAGGCCCCTGCCCAGCCAGTTCCTGCTCTTTGAGCAGCTCAGAAGCTTGCAGCTGTCTCCTGGAGCACTGTTGGTTTACAGCAACTGCCTGTTGGCAGAAGCTTTGTCACTGCTCCTTTCCTCTTGGGAAAATATTGATCCCTCTCTTGTTTCTTCTTTGGTCCCAGTGATTTCACTGTAACTCAGCTACCCCTTTCCAGCATCCCTTGCTTGGTCAGTGGTGTCACCGTCTTCCTCGGACCTCAGATTCCTCATGCCCCTGAAACTCCATCT